TTTTTTTTTTTTTTGCAAAAACTAGTCACAGGAAATCATCCCAGCAAAACCCAGGGCATGGTCAGAACATATCCACAGACCTGGAAGCAATCTTGTGCAGACAGCAGCGGTACTTGTTGTGAATGTAAAAGAGAAGACTTTAGTTCCTCAATAACATTTACTGTAAAATGGAAAGCTTCTAGTTGAAAAGTACTTTTAAACTCCCCTTTTGTTCTGAACTGTTATGAAGATAGACAAACTGGCAGACAGAATAACTCAAATGATTCTGCGTAATAATTCCACATAATGTACTTGGGACTGCTAAGAATTCCCAAGGATGAAGCCATTGTCTAGAGGGTTTTAATTTATTTTTCAGTAACAACAACAAAAAAAAAAATCATGTAACAGAAGTAAAAAATAGCAAGCAGGAACACCAGAGAGGTGGCAGAGAAAACACCCTTAGGTGTTTCCAAGACTTGGCTAGACAGTCATGGCTGACCAGATAGTGAGTGGTAGGTTGGACAGGAGATCTCCAGAAGTCCTCTTTGAGCCATCTTTCTGTGATTCTGTCAATCCCACTATGGAGCTAGAACTGTGTGTGAGCAGACACCTGAAATGGGCAGGTATCAACAAAAGCCTTGCAACAGGGAGTTTACTGTTGTTATCACATTCACTACAAGCAGTAGATGGCCCCAACATCTGAACCCTGGTGGTCAGAAGTCAGGAAACTGAGATAACCGTGGAAGTTTGAATTTGGATTTGGAGCAGATGGTCTTTGTCATCAATCAGTGTTCTGTGTTATCAGACAGGGTATTAAATCTATGATGACATCATTCATGGAAAAATATTAATAATTTACTAATGAGTTACAGATTTTCAGCTTTCTATTGTAGTTCATCACCCCCCCCCCCCCCCCCCCCCCCCCCCCAGTATTATTTTGCAGGTAAGAGTTTTAGTACTAGCTACAGCTTGAAGATAAACTATACCACCCTCTCTTGTTTCTGTAATTGCCAAAGATTTTAATTGCACAATTACACACTATGTTTGCACAAAAAAGACCTGATGCATTCAGTGCTGTGCTTGCTGAATGAGCCCAC